CTAAGCTCGGTTAGGAAACCACTGTGGCAGGCAGCTCAGTCACCTATTCAATGCAAATGGACTTCTTACGGACATTGCATTTTATGCACCACCTGGATATGAAGTGGATAAGTTTTCGTGTGTTCTGGATATGTGTTTTAAACTCTCCTACACTCAACGCCACGCACTGACAACCTTTCACACAATTGCATTTATGTGCACACGTGAATTGCATTAGAAAGTTGCCAGCAAATAAACTAAATCCAACTCAAGTGCAAGGATCCCAGTCTCACGGCTGACAGGAACAGGAAACGATACCGACAGCAGCTCGTAGTTCGGCGTGCAGATGCGACAGGACATTTGCATTTTGCAGGGATGAGCTCGTGATTCCCTAAGTGGATTAGTCACAATATTTAAAGCCAGAAAGACTTGTTTTTCACAAATTCACTTATAAGTCACAATCGAAATAAATGTTGCATAACTACTAAATTCACTTACCTAAATTATAAACAGTAAAAAGCCTTCTTACCTAAAAGCTAAGTTTATGAACGCAAAATATTGTTTTAACTTTAAAACACTTCTTGATTTGTGTTCTCACTGAAATATTAGAGTAATACATTTTTCAAGAAGCTAAGAAAATGTTTTATAATATATTTATATATTTTTAAAAGCTTAAAAATGTTTAAGCAAATTTCAATAAACTAAAACATTAAAACAACAAAATTGTTGGAACAATTTTAATACATTTTAATAGTAACTTACTAAAAGAATGCTTAATATTTTTAATTAAAAGCAATAAGAAATATGATTTTGATATTATTTATTAATTTTTATTTTATTTATTAATTTTTCTGACTGTGCTTAAACGAGTTAAATAAATAAACCTAAGCCAAATCGAGCAATCAACGCAATCTGATTTATTGAACAACTTAAAGGTATGCAGATACATTTCCATCGTCTCTCGTGTAAATTTTCATCTCTAAGCGGAAATACAGCCATTTATTGCCTGGCACTCGGAATGGCGCAGCCCATTCGACTTTAGTTTCTGCGCTTACTTACGTTTACGTTTGGACGTGGTTGACGTGTCAGTTACAAGAAGCAATTGTGCAAATGTGTCGGTTACCATTTTTGGGATGAGATGTGCGATATGCGATAAGCGGCAAATGCTCAAATGGAGCTCAAGCTCCTTGAGGTTGGATATGGAATAAAGATGGGAATAGCTCCATGTGCTTGGCAGTCGGCATTCGGCAGCTGCAAATTGAGATAAAAGTGCGAGACTTTGCTGGCATCAAAAGTGGCCGGAGACAAAGGTCGTGGGAATAGTTCTTTGGGCATGCCAATCAGGCTAAATCGTGCCTGCTGGAGGCTAAAAGAGAGTCCTGCTCATTGACTCACTAGCCGCATATGCTGCAGGTCCTTTTTGACTTTGCTTAAGCACTCAGTATAAAACATGCACTGAAGGATCGTTGAAATCCGCTCTTAAAGCCACCATGACTGTCATTAAATGAAGAGCTAAAAGCATGCAGAGAAAACCCCCTTGAGTGCCCTCAACTCAAAGGTTATGTCGGCAAGTGAGAGTTTAACAGCAGAGTTGAAGAGGAAAAGCAGAGTGCCAATTAATACTCCACTTACCTTTGAGATACCCTGCTTTGCCCAGCTTAAATCCAAAACAGAGATGCTGAGATCAGCCTTTGTAAATCTAAGTAGTTTTGCTTTTAGTACTTTCCCATCAGCAAAAGGACAAATTATTGCTCAGCCGGATGAAGACATTAAATTAAGTCACTTCAAGTGCGTATACTTAATTTTCTGTTATGTTCCACTTTTACGGCCACCACACAAATATGTAGAAAAATACTAAATTCGCCTGGGGCAATGCATGATATTACAATTTGAGCCACAAAGCCAGAGCCACACACACACGCACAACACAAAAGTCAGAGAAAAGCAAAAGGTCTACAGATGCGAACTGTGTACTAAGGCCATACAACATCCGCACTACAACTTCTAGCCACTTCCGCATCCGTAGAGCTCAACTTTGCAATCCACCGAGCATGTGAATGTGAGCACCGTCGGCCGTGCTTTATGCTTTATCTTGCGCCACATTTAACAATAAAAACGTGAATTGTTTGCAATGAAAAGCGCAAAGATGGTAATAAAGCGAACAAACAAGGAAACACACATGCACACTTGTGGGTTTGCAAACGTTTAAATGTTAATGCACAGAAAAAAATCTAAGAATTTTCGTGATCAAGCCAAGAGATTTCAAAATTCATCTACAAGTAGCACTAAATTCTGCGATTTATAATTTTTTAGAACATTCTTATAAGAAATACAAAGTCTTAATTTCTTTAGCTAACATTAATACAAAAGACATGTGTTTAAGTTTAAATATAATTTCAAAATCACCATGATCGCATAATTGTTATTAAAAAGTGTCTATGCAGTACACAATATATAATTATCTTGAAGACCAATGGACTTATAACGAAAAACGATGTTTCTGATTTTCTTTTTATACTTTTTGACCCCCTTATAAATTTTTCTAAACTCTACTGATTTCTGTAACACCCCCAAATTGTTTTATTAAAATACGAATTAGATAAATAAAAACTGTTGCCTTCAACAATAATTTCACATACTCGCATTTGTTAAGATTGTTAACCGCAATTCTAAACAATATTTGTCGAGGTGTAGGCGTGCGTGTTTCTCCTGCTTTTACCTAATTGCTGCACTGAAGCACATTTCAGGTGCTTGGCCAAGCGGAAGCCAGTCAGATACTCACACGAATCGAGGGGAAATGCAGTTTGTGGGCAATGTTTAAGCCAATGACCATTAGCGCGCTTTGATGTCGGCACTTAAATTGAATGGGCAAACTGTTGGCAGCAGCAGAAAACTCTATGATCGAGACAATGAAATACATTTACGGCATTAATTGCCCCAACGACATAGAACTTGAGCAATTCACACAAAGCTAAATTAATTGCGTCACACATCCAAAGGTTCATGCGATTGGAATTTTCTTGAAAATATCAAATGCCCATATGAAAATTAATGATAATACTTTTACAAATAATGTCCAAAATGTCTGAACTTGTTTAACATTTAATTTATCCTGCCCGTCAAAAAAAATATGGTAGTAATATTTTCACAAAATATTTTTGGACAGTTGTTGTTATCTTTGTTATCTTTAGTCATTTAATAATTGTTTAAGAAATAATTTAAGAAAATGATATCTAGTTTTCTAGAATTCTAGCTGTTTGCAATCTACTTGATGTATAAGCCCCAATTGGTTTCCCAATGAAACCTCAATACATTGTATTCTGCCCAACGAGGCCAGAAATTAATTGAGAGTGCCATCATAAACATGCCAAACGAGAAAATTGTAATTAATTCCCAATTCATTAAGGGACTGTGGATCCTGTGCGATTTGTGACAAAACACTTAATCAATGGCGAATTATCGAAGCAGGCGATGCAATTTGATCTGCCCAAATTAGCAGGGACATACATAGGTTCCATGAAACATAAGACAAACGAGAAGTGTAAGCCTGCAAAGAAAATGCGGCTTAGCAGTGAAGAGCAGCCATAAGTAATGTTCAACCATACGTCTGGATCAGTAACAGCATCCGTACTCGTAATTTTCTTCAAACTAATTACGTTGAAAACAGCAAAGATGCCACTTGACACAGTACTTCGCGCTATAACTCTTTCTGCTCCAAGTTTTCCCCCAGCAAGTGCAATTGCAATTGCAATTGCAAGCGTGGCTAAATTAAATGGCTGACAAAGTGAGCAGCATCAGCAACCCGCATCGCATCCCGCGAGGACCAGAGTTTTCTTTTATATTCTGTCACCCATTGCAGTTGGCAAGGACATGGACGTGAGAGTGGAAAGTGGAAAGTGGAAAGTAGAAAGTGCCAAATGGCAACTGAGAAAAGTTGCAAACGGGCGGTGAAAGTTTGTCATAAATCAGAATATTTTAAAAGTGTTTGCCCTGGCAGAACAAGGGGACGGAAAAAATGTGAACTGTGGCAGTCATAAGCCAAGACTATTGCTGGCAACTTGTAGCCATGTCGAACAGAAACTATGATGGCAAAAAAAAAGGCGAAAAAACGAACTTCAAAGACCCTTGCTAAGGAAAAAAAATCGGAAATAAGAAAATCATATTTAATTCGGAGATTGATAAAGTTTACATGATTTATTGCCAGCCAGTGAATTGCTTGACAATTGTTATCCAACGGGAAATAGTTTACTAAAAAGATGGCACACATTCTTTGTTAAGAAAAATAAGTTCACAAATATAATTATATTCAAAAAGTAAATTATAAATGTCAGTTTTAATATATTCATAGATTTTACCATTTGTATTGCCAAATAAGGTATTTTCTTGAAGAATGCAGCAAAAATACTTTTAATTTTCAGCTTTTGGCCAGAGTATAATCATACCAACTTTTATACGAAGAATTTTAAAAAGAAAACTTCTGACCTAGAGTTTTTCAGCAACAAATTTTAACAAATGAAAAACTTAAAAATGGGCAGGTTAAAAAAAAGTGCGTTGGAGAATATTTTGTTCGGAAACCAGTTTCATTTGTTTGAACAAAAGTAAGTAAGGATTCTTACAGAAAAGAATTTATAAAATATTTAAAAACCGAAACCACAGATTTTCTTTATGCTTTAGACTTGTTGGGTGACACAGCTAACCTGACCGACTTTCTTAAAACCCTTTGCCGACATCATTATGCTCATCAGCACTTCGCCTTGCACTCAACTGAGTGCACCTAATGCAACCATTTTAGCCCATCAGCCGTGCTAAATGACTTTCTACTCCGCCATTCCAGCTGCAAATGCCAATTTAACTTCAAATGCAGACTCCGACATCAAGTTGCAATGACATCGGATGTCCAGTGATTTGCATTTGGCGATGGTGATAGCCATGGCGACGATCCAATCGACTTGTTCGGATAGTTTTTCGATACCGCAGCAGGCGACAAAAACCACAACAGCTGACAGCCAAAGGCCAACAAATAGACAGGCAAAACTTTGATTGACATTTCAATTAAATTATAGACAAACTGGGTGTCGCTGGCGGCGATGTTTCGGGTGCAGAAAGTTTTGCTGGACGAATTCGAGGAGATCTACGAGCCGGTTCTGGTGGAGAATCCCTTCACCCTGGTGGATATCCGCGGAGTGGGACTGCGCCAATATCATATAGGCCTCACCTGCAATTGCCTGCTCTTCGGCTGCGACAACTTTTCCAAGTACGGGGATGAGCTGAGTTTCGTGGACCGCGGATTGGACCCGGAAATCGAGAGTTTCGAGCTGGTCAGCATTCTGCCGCTGCAGTTAGTCCGGTTTCACTTTTTCCGAAAGTCCAACCGGTATCTCATGATGCTGAACACTGTCGCGCCGCTGGGAAAACCCGAGACGATGCTGGAGCACCCGATGATCTTTGAGTTTGGCGGGCACATCTACAAGCAGCACTTCTGGCACACCTGGCGGGAGCGGGTGGCCACCATACGGGTGATGCAGCCCCTCTATAGCCAGATAACTGGCTCCTCGCCCTTCTCCAGCAGCGATGTTCAGCTGGACGAGGAACCCACCGTCCAGGTGCAGGTGCATCCTGTCCCAAGGACCCCCTCCGTCTACAATGCCTGCCATGCGGCAGTCGGGGATTTTGGCTAGCCAGCGTAAGAGGCTTTTGCCCCGTTTCCATTTTCGGCCAAAGGATTGGGCCCTACGTTTCTATTAACAGATTTAACCCGTTTCCATTTGGTTGCTGGACCTAAACTTTCAATTTGGCCAGCAGCCTGTTTATTTATTTATATTAAAAGCAAATCACTCTTCCCACCTAAAGTCAAGCTGTTTATAGTTAGCTTGCTAAAAAGCATCATGCTTAAAAAGTAGGTTACAATGCTTAGACGAACTGAAATATGAAACTTTTACATTTTTTTAAGACCATCTAGTTTGTAGTCATTTTAAGCAGGAATTTGAATAAAATTAAATAAAACAAATGATTTGGTGCAAGATTTAAAATTATTTTCATTATTATTATTTTTAACCTTTAACAATTTCGTATAAAAATGAATTAGTTTTAAGTTAGTAGAATAAGATTTGCGGCAATCTTTCCAAGGTAAGTTTCCAAGGTGTACCATTTTTTCTTTAAAAAGCATTAATGACTTTCCTTCATCTTAAGGATATCATCGAACTCTTTAGCCCTCAAAGGTATTTCCAGCTTCGATTCTGCCCTTAATGCCGCTCTGATTTTCGTTATTGTTCGACTCCATTTTGGTTGGTTAATGCAATCAGCAGAACGGCCAGAAATTCGACCACAGCAGGCGACCGAGCCTTCTGGTTTGGTTGTTTATTTGGGAATGGACTGAATTCGGGTTGTAAGCGCGATGGTGGGGAGATGACGACGAAAAAATGTTGTATTGATGTGCCCCGGGCCTGGGGGCTATTTGTTGCGGCCCCGCCTTCAGGGCGAGTTAACCAACAAAGTTTTCAATTTGCCGACAAACTTAAGCCGCAACCACAGCATTTGCCGGGTGCGGTGGCAAGGAAAATGTGGGAGAACATGGGCGGCCAGGACCTGGACATGTCTGTCTCTGGGTGAGCGTGCAGCTGACACCAAAAATCAATTGCAATGAAATGCCGGGCAACTTAGAACAACTTAGAACAAGCGAACGAAAAGCAAAATATAAAACCTAACAACAAGTCGTCATTGGCCGTATTTGGTTTAGGGCATTTAATGGTCAAAGTTTTTCAACTTGTCTGTAATTTATTTGATTTGCTTTAGCTGTGGCTTTGGCTTCGGCTGTGGGGTTGATTCGTCGACTACTCTCTGCTTTTGATAAATTACAATTTATTTAATGAAATGTGCAGAGTACCGAGCGTCGCATTAATCATACGCCATGTGGTGCGGCACTGCAAATACTGGAATGAAATTACAAATTACTTTAAAATTTCACCACATTTTCGCTGCTTTAAAATCCTTTTCTGCCTAAGCTTTGCCACAAAATCCGTTCGCATGGCGACGCCAATGCGAAAAGTTAATTAAAAGCCATGAAACACGGTCGGGAGTCAATAAAAGCCATTGCAGCACCCCATACAAACTCATGGGCGTTAAGCATCTTCGTTGAGTTCTACTTTTTTTATTAATTTTTAATACACCTGCTGACGCCGTCAATTAAGCGTGGACCTGTTTCATTTCGTTTAATTAGCCATAAAGTCGCTTAAAATGGGGCAACAGAGCTGCTTGTCGCTGTTTTGCTTCTTTCGGGCAATGTGGTAGGCATTCAAAATTAAAATAGCTGCCGAGAATATGCCGACAGACTTTAGGGATTCCGACGCCTGCATTCCAGGCATTTCGGTTATGTTACTTATTTGTCGGTATAAGTATATACATATTGGCTTGCGGAGTTCAAAGAACCTAGGCAGCCACATCAAAGCCTCGTCGTGAGTAATTGCTTTTGAAAAATTTGAATTTTGAAAACCGAACAGCAGTCAGCGTCTGCAACTGGCCGTAGGAAAAATTTAATTTTAAGCACCCGCCTGCGAAATTCATTGACAGCCCCGCCTTGCCTAGGACCACATTGCGTATACGCAATACTGGCAATTGAATGTCTGCCTGCGTGTGTGTTGGCCATATTTCATTAGCACACCAGTTAGACATTTTGTCGGTGCTTTAAGCGCAGCGTTTATGGCGACATTAAAGCTCGACCCACATGCAGCTTAAGCTGACAGTGATGGATGAGCTTAATATTTATTGAATTCCGACGGAATTGCCAGTGTGTGCCCCTGCATACATGCAAATTCGTGGGCTCAACAGCTAAATGCCAATGGGAATATCTTTGCATAAATCGAATTGATCGCTCGGGGACATTTGAAAGAACCATTGAGATTCACTAAGTTGCCTTTGATTGGAATGATATCGGGTGATTAAATTAAATCTCGTATTTAAAATGTAATTAAATTAAAACAGATGCTTGATTTTAAATTTGACAGGCATAGCTTTGTATGTAATTGGAGTGATGGTTGGGGCATTTATAATGAATAAAAATAATTTGATATGGCTATATTAATTTACATGTTTTTAGACAGCGGTCGTTTGATTTTTCACGGCTACAGTTTTTAAACATTTGTAGCTACATATTGGCTTCATGACGTCCAAAAATGTATATTGTTATATGTATTACTCGTTTTACGCTTAGTTTTAAACTTAGCATATTGAATGTCCTTTGCAAATGAGGGGTTGCACAGCGAAAAAGTTGCTATAGGCTTATATGTAATACTAGAAAACTTTGCATATATTTAAAGCAAAGCAGCAAGTAATATATTGTTACACAAATAAATTATTTTAGTTCTAATTCATTAAAATAGCAATAAATTTAAAAAGAAATAATTCTCATCCCGCTACCAAAGGTCAAAGCCTATAAACAAAGTGTAAAGTACACATAATTCAGATAGTTTAAATAATAAACGTATTTATAGGAATTTTAATACTCGTGCTTTTAATTGTAATATTAATCATGTTAAGCGTTGGCTATGATATTTATACACCACGTTTTTTTTGTTATTGTAATACTTACGTAATCAGCAATTTTGTGTAAAACCCGAGATCAGCTATTAATGCTATTAATGCTTATCAAGAATATGTTATATATGTACATATACTGTTTCCTCGAACCCATATACTCTTGTTCTCGAGAATCGCTTATCAAAATTCGTCGGGCTCAGCAAAGCAAATCAAGAAAATCATTTTACTTCGGGCTCTCGCATTTAATGGTTGAATTCTTCCACTCTGTATTTAAGTGTGAAACTTATTTTGCATTAATTCTGAAGTGCAAAACGAGAAAAATCGTACATTGTATAATTAATGTGTTGCGTTGGTCGTGAAGCAAATATATAGTAATAAAAAAAGTATAAAATGATCAAAAATCTGTGGCAAAACAAATAAATAATAAAGGCGTCACTTTCGGCTTAAACATCTAAGATAAGGTCAAAATGAGTTCGCCGATAAGTGTGCCTGTACACTATCCCCTTATAAAGTCCCTGACTCCCCCGCCATCGTATCAGGAGGCCATGGGCTGGTTGCCAAGCAGATCGGCAGAGGAAACTACCACGATGTGGACCACCAACACACGGGACCACCATACCACCGACGGAAACTCATCTACGCAGATGATCTGTCCGTTGTGCCATGAGGTTATTGAGACGACAACGGTCATTCGTCGTGGAATGACTGCCTACGTGGCCTCGTTGGTGGTCACCTTTGTCACCTGCGGCTTAGGAACCTGCCTGGTCCCTTACATCATCAATGACTTCAACGAGATTCATCACTCGTGCCCCAACTGCAAGAGCTTCCTGGGAACCGTACTTCTTTAAGATAAGATTTCTCAATTCGGTTTTATTGAATTATTTACTGTAGTTCTAGTCATTTGATTTTGGATGAATCTTAATAAATTATATAAATTATCTAGATTAACTTCTTTACTTTTACTTACATTTTTGGGTCGAAATAGCTAGCTCCTTTCCCTCGATGTCATTAAAAAGTATACATAATAAAAATAAAAATATTTGCGTTACTGATATCGCTTTGAGAGATTCAACATCAGCTTACATCAATTTAAAGTACTTATTACTTTTCCACGAATGCATATACTGTTCCAACAATAATTCAACAGAAATTTCTGTGTCGTTTTTCTGAAACTCGAAAAAACTCAGCAAAGCACACCCACACAATTAGTTTGTTTCAATCTGTGGAATACGAAGGTTTGCGAGTCCCAGTGAACATAATAAACTTTGAGATTTATGTTTATAACCAAAAATTTTGTACTTTTCGTAATATTACTTACAAATTTAAATTCTTGTTTTTTGTAATTCCAATATGTAAATTTCGGAAAGATTTGTGATGAGAGTTAAACAACAGCAAGAGCCATCTGCATACAAAATCTAATAAAAAAGCGCCTTCCCCTACAACTTTTGAGATAAGGGCATAATGGATAAAGGGCCCCCACCCTCGTATCAGGAGGCAATAGGCTGGGGACCGAATATATCGGCGAATGAAAGTACCAGAGCAGTGACCACTGAGGAGACGCTGGGCCGCACTTCGACGCACATGCTCTGTCCATCGTGCCATGCCGAGATCTTGACGACCATCATCACCCGGGCCGGAGTGTTTACCTACGTGGCCTCGTTCTTCATTTGCCTGTTCACCTTCGGACTGGGCTGCTGCCTGTACCCTTTCTGCATCGATGACTGCAAGGTGGTACACCACTACTGCCCCAACTGCATGGAGTCTCTGGGTCAGTCGGCAGATTTGGATCTGGACTAGTCAATGAGTTCACCATAACCGACATTCGTCGTCTATTATTTTTGTCGTAGTGATTATAATATATATGAAGCCACAAATAAGTTTCGATTTTTAGCCTGATTTCTGTTACATTGTCACTTGGAAATGCCATTAAATAAAATATGTCTACATATTAAAGAAAAGTTGCTGATTTTAAACCTATAACTATATAGTTTTTAGATGTTTTCGAATTCTGAAATACGAGTGCCTTGACAATAAGATCCCCGTTTCTCTGCAACCAAAAATCAAAATAAATAAATTGGGCACCAATTGCCAAGTTTATATAATTCTTATCAGCTCATGTACATAAAAATACAGTAATTCCGAAATTCGGTGCGAACAAAAAATTATAACGCTTCACTCAAAGAAAATATTTGTAGCTTAAAAAAATATTGTTATTGTTGTGATCTTACTTTACATAGAATAAAATGCTTTATTGCTACAAAAAAAAAAAACAATTAAAGAAAACAATTTTTTTTCTAGTATTTCAAACACTTTTAAAAATAATTTTCAAGGGGAAGCTGAAAGAATTTTTTTGAAAAGACAGCTCAAAAATGCTTGCATTTCATCATAAAGCGGCCTATCATTTATATTTTAAATTGATCAATTTATTTAAAACATTTGCAAGTCAAAGGTTACGTCAACGCTAGTTTTTGGGGGAAAAACATTTTTTTCTAAGTGCAGAGGCCATGAGTCATGTGCTTAAAAATTACTTATCAAAAATCGTCAAGAGGTCCGAAAAGCGTGTTCAGAAAATTAATTTGATTCTAGCTCGCGCATTAAAAGGTTGATTTATTCGCATTTTCGACGCAACACATTTGCTTAATTTGGCTGAATTAATGTATAGAAGTGTGGTAGCTAGTATTACGTTTGCTCAACGGTGAAAATTAAACTGATCAAAACATTTTTCCGTGAAGCCTAAGACTAAAAATAACAAGAAGAAAAAAAATAACCGGCTTTGGCAGAAATAATAAAAACGTCCATGAGCGATCCTCCGCAGTCTCCCAATGTGCCGCTTGAAGCACCGCCGCCCTCGTACGAAGAGGCAACGGACTCATTTAGAGTAACAGTGCCAATGGAGGTGAACTCGGCCCACAGCTCAACGCATCTAATCGATTCTTCGACAGAGGACAATGATTGTAAAATGATAATGGCGGCGGTTGCTTTTAGCATCTTCCTCTTAAAAATCGGATGGTTGCTGTTCATTCGATAACTACCTTAATTCTATGCAAACATGATAAGCTATTGTTACCCTTAAAATAAATTACTACCCAGCGAAAGTGCTTGCAATAAAAATAAAAAATGATCGTAAAAAAAAGTTTATATTGTGCTCTTCCTAAAACCAATTTTTGTATCCGCTCAACACAGAGTAGTTGCAATAAACAACACTGTGTAACACCAAATATTTATATTAAAAAGTTTACATTCCGAATAGATTTCGAATTGCTGAATCCGACTTGCAAGGAAAAACACTTTGTATCCGCAAATATTTATAGTTGGACCACTTTAAACCTTACCAATAGGGGAAAGCCATCTTCGTTAAAAAACTACTTGGCCTAGTAAAACTATTTGGCTTTTATATTTTTTTTCGAAACGATTTAAAAAATACTTCTCAACGGAGGTTTTCTGCTAGTAACTCAGTTAAAAAAATCTTAAAATTTTTTTTTTAAATCTATAAGATATTTATTAGTTTTTACTTGGGACATAAATAAAGATCTAATTTTATACCAATGAATTCAATTAAAATTAATAGCAATACAAGAGAAGACGGCTTCGAAACACTCAAGTTTTACTCCATCCACGCATATGGGCTAATTGAATTTGATTTTTACAGGCGTTGGGTTGAAGTTTTAAACGAATCGAGACGTGCCGGGCATGCCAAAGGTTTCTCAGCTAGTGACCGCAAAAAAGGAGATCCAGTGGCTGAAATGCTTTACCTTTAGACCCAGACTGGCAGGGGGATTCCGCTTTGTTTGTTTACCGGGCGGGGGCATTTATGCGGTTGCAGCCGCTGAGTGTGTGGGAACAAACATAAAGTGTGCGGCAGGAACTTATTAAGCAAACAGTTTGTGGCATGCCTGAGAAATCGCTGCATCCTCTGGCCCGGATAGTGGTATTTGCTTTTGTGTCGAGTGCTAAAGCGACTGTCACGACGTAAGTAAAAGCTGTTAATGCTTATGATATAGATGATAGTGAGTCCTTCTTGTTTCCTCATACACACACACAGGTGCCCTTCCAGTAGCGTAAAATTTATTGCATACTTTGCAGGGCGTGCATTAGCGTGGCAACTCGTCACGTCACAAATCTCACACGAACAAAGAGCGCGGCTAGAAAATGGGGTTACTTTTGGGGGGAAAACTGAAAAGAAAGCAGAGACAACGCCGAAAGCCAAGAGAATCCAGACGAAAACGTGACTTGGCACTGGCATCAGTGCCCCCGATGACGTTGATGATGATGATGCTACTCCTCATGATGGCCACACATCAAGGCAAAAAGTTGTCATTAAAAGTTAGTTTTGCTAAGACAATGCCAAAAAGAACTAAACGCAGCTATCATCAAAACACAGACCTTTGTGGTTGACCAAAGGATTGAATATTGAGATCCGGCTAAACTAAATAACAGTTTCAATTCACATTGAAACCCAACAAAAGTTTTTTTTTTTTGTAAAAACTTTTAAAGCGTCTCTCTAATATAACATTATTATATAAAATGTTTTGAATAAAGGTGTATATTTATGCTTTAAGCTCCTCATTTCGGCTGCTGCCACTCCCCGTAATTTTGATGCTGCACCCAATAGCCAAGCTGTTTGAGCTCTAAAGACTAATTCACCTTGATCAAATGTGTATTAATTAACTACTGTTTGCCGAGGACCTGCCAGGGATGGCAGTCTGAGGTATTAACTTTGGTATCCAAGCATTGCAACCTCGGCTAATTGCACGAAACAATTAACCCGATTGCTGGCCCAAAGCAACCATTTCGAGCTTAAACAAAACCCCCTGGCTGCAATGCAATGTGTTTGGGCATTCAAAAGCATATTTGGTTCAGGAGAACGAGTGGACCGAAAATTGGCCAAACCGAAAATGCGATAGCATACAGAACTCTGTGCAAATGGGTGGCCACACCTGACCAAAAGGACCCAAACTCACTTCCCCAGACCTGTGGTAATATAAACAAGCAGAGTGCAAATGGTCGGCAGTTAAGAGGCTATTAAAATGCAAAACTATAGACGCAACCCCAGCTGGATGCAAATCTTTGCTCGCTTTCCGGCCCACTGACTCACTAAGGCGATCATACAGGGCCAACCCGGAAAACGGCAAACAAATAGACGAGGGTCCTCGTCGATTTCCAGAATTGCATTTCCCACTTCACATATCACTGGATGTGTTTTCAGTTTTCAGTTTGCAGTTTGCAGTTGCCATTGCCTGTAAACGCCTACCAATTGGCATTTCGGTTCAAATCTAATCCTTGATGGCAAACATCTGGCGTTCGTCTGAGCAGTTGACCCCCGGATGCGAAATCGTAAATGTTAATGGCTGCTCGGATTTAATGTCCTAGGTTTCTCCATGACTTTCGGTTATCCAAAGGGTTTGTGCTGAATTGAAACACCTTACACTGAGAAAACCACTCAGTTCTTCAACAAAATCAAATTTATAAAGAAAAAATTATAATAAAATAATAAATAGTAAAATAATAATAAATTATTATAAAAATAAGCATACTTCGGTTAACTTAGTTTAAGAAAAACTGCAATTAAAAACCAGTTTCTATTGTTTCTATTTATCGAGTTATGTATGCTAAAACCAATGATGTTATACCTTTTTTACTTTTGATTATATATGATAATTGATATAGTCATCTGATCTCAACGGTTCCGACAAATACATCACTATCTTTTTACTGTTCTATTTGTCTTGCATGTCCTTTAAATAATAAAATATTATTTTCTTACAAAGTTAACTAGCCAATTTATACAAAAAACCCATTGAATTTGTTATAATCAACAACAAAGAAGAATATGAAATGAAACATACATGTATGAGTAAACATTATTTTCTAAGCTGTATTAAATTTTAAAGAAAACTGTAACATCGATTATATTAATTATTATAATAACTATTAGCTACATTGCACATTAACTTAAATATTATATTATTGCTTGGAATAGCTAATAACATGCTTTTATTCTCAAATAAAGAATGGGTAATATAATAAAATAGGAGCACTAACTAACTCTTTCTGTTTAAAAAACTTCTCTGCTGACTTTTAAGAAGTTTTGATCTTGATAGAAGGCAAAATCTTGATAAGAAGTATCTCCATTTTCACTGTGCAGACAGAGGAAACGTTCGTTAATGCTCGTCTGGGAATTGGGACTTGGGGACTTTGGACCTGGACCTGGTCCTGGTCCTGGGAATTTGAATGTGGAGCATCCGATAGCACCGCCTCCCAACCACATTAAGCCTTTGTTTGGCTTTCAGACAGCTGCAGCAGGCAACTGCCTTAAAGCCACTCTTTCCCATGAGGGAGATAATCAAACTTGAATTAGGATTTATGCCCCAACGATTGCAGTTTATTTGTCTTTCTTGGGAGCACACAGCTGCCTGAGATTTGGCCGAGATTTACAAGACATCCACTTGGATGTACCATATACACTCGAACATATTCGTCATAATTCATGGCAGTCCGGCGGCGGTTGACACGATTGTTACCATCACGTACAGCGCGGCTAGATAAATCTCTTGGCCCAGTCCTGGTGGCTTTCAGCACTCAACGCCATTGTCGCCACCTTTTGGCCAAAGCCCAGCCGCCCCCCTTTATAGCCCCTCGTCTTTTGGGCCAGCACGTGCACGCTGTTAACCTCAAAAATGCGCTGCTAAAACATTTTTTAACGCTCTCTAGCTCTCCGACACCTCGAAACCGGGTCCCTTCCTTCCCGTGGCAATGGACCAGACCAGACGGTCAGCTAGGTTGAATCCACAAAACATGACCGCAAGGACGCAGCCAGGCCACAACATCTAATCGAGCTGATGGCCAAGGACCAAGGGCTAAACTCGACCAAAAGCGTGGACAATCCTTTTCGCGGCAGGCATACGAGAGTCCCGTACGTGAGTCGGATGACAAAGTGGTCGAAGCATATGCTCTCATACAGGGTGAC